CCTGCGTTGAGCATCTGCCCTCCTGTGGTCAGTACATGTGGTAGCAACCAGTCAGAGGGACACTTAGCATATTAGCCTTTTATGTATAGACATAAGCCCTACAATAGCCTTGGGTGTTAGAATAAGGTGACCAGACGTCCCGCTTTAGGCGGGACAGTCCCGATTTTTAACAAATTGTCCCGCGGCGTTTTTAAAAAAAGTCCTGACAAATTGTAAAAATCGGGACTGTCCGGCCAAAAGCCGGACATCTGGACACCTTATGTTAGAACTCACATTTACGGTAGAGAAAACTATGTTTTCAACATCACAAAGTGACAGGTTTGTGACAACCAGTGGTATACTGTAAATATTTCTCTCTTTTCCATGTCCAGCACGGCTGGTCTGTTTCCTGAGTAGCGGCTGTTGGGGATTGAGAAAATGAAAGAAAGAGACAGACACAGAGATGGAAGGAAAAAGCTGGGCCAGGTGGGACTACTGTCCTGATGGGGAAACAGGGACCCAGAGCCAATAAGAGTGTTTATTTAAAACAGCAAAAACCAGGGAGTTTTACTAAAAGTCAAGACAAAGGAGATTATGCACATTCTTGGGTGGGCCAGAGTTGTATTCATTCCTTGTGCCCGGCTGGATTTAGATAACCAAACCCACCTCCTGGTGCCTGGGCCGAAGGTCCAAATGACACACTCCTGCCTCTGGCAAGGCATGTTTTCAGGACCTGGCTCTGCCAACGCCACTGGATTCAACTGACAACAATTAAAGAAATTCTCATGTGCCTTACCTACAGTATACTGGTAAATGTTTAATATCTGCTCCTTGGAAGGTATGAAGAGCCTTGCTTGCAGAGTTTACCAAGTTCCATGAAGTAAATACTCCCACAATGGCCAATTTCAAGCTATCAATATGATGCCACTGGCTCCTAAAAGTTCTGAAAACTTTTGTTTCCTGTTTTGCAAACAGGAAGAAGCCAGCTCCAGCATACCAGCCAGTTCCTTTAAATTTAATACAAAAGTATATGAAAGTGCCTTGTTTGAGATGAAATATCTAAATGACATGGATTGTCAATTTAGTTGACAGATTAAACCAACAATGAAGCTATTAAATGGTAGTGTGGTCTTAATTACAAATTCCTTTGGCGTTCCCAATGAATACGACAGATCCTCAATGATCCTGAGTCCTGGTATTCATGCCCTTGTGGAACGTTGGGAGATAAGGTTAGTTTGAAAGAGTTGTACTTATCAGGAGGACACTTAACAACAAACAAGACTTATGTAGCTTAAAGTCTAATTTGGCCGTGAGAGGGAGCCAACAACAGTAAGTAAATACAAGAGAACAGTAAGAATTATGCAGAGAATTAAACCAGAATAATGTGATAGGAAGTAACTAGCTAGCTACTGCAGATTAGGTGGTACGGAAAGGTGTGGCAGGCCTGCAGATTGTCCCACACACCCATCCTTTCCCTCTTTTAGTAATATAATTGCCCAAGTTTTGACCAGGCAACTAGATATCCAGGTAGCAACCAAATTTCCCAGCCTCCCTTGCAGCTGGGAGTGAACATATGACTAACTCAGCAGAACTAATGTTACAATTTACTGATCTCATTTTCATCAGGAAATTGTTTTTCTCCACTTTCTCTTTTTCTCCTTCTTCCAGATTGGAATATAGACAGATGAGGGCCAGCTGTAATCATGTGAATGAAGTTTGCACTCTATGATAGGACCAGGCTAGAAGGAACCTGGATCCCTGAGTGATCTCATGGAACCAAGCGGCTTGCTCACCCTTTACCACCTGCCTACCTCTGGATTGTTATGTGAGAGAGAAATAAACTGTAATCTTTTTTTGAGTTACTAAATTTGGGCATCTCTTTATTATGGTAGCTTAGCCTGTGCCCTAGTATTAGAGGTTACCTCTCAGAAGAGGTGACATTTAAGCTAAGACCTCAGTGACAAGAATGGACAAACCAGCCCAGTCAATGCTGCTCAGTGGCTGAGTATCAACCCATGAACAAGAAGGTCACAGTTCGATTCTCGTTTGGGGAACATGCCCAGGATCTGGGCTCAATCCCTAGTGCGGGAATACAGGAGATGTCCCATGGATGATTCTCTCTTATCATTGATGTTTCTATCTCTCTCTCCTTCTCCCTTACTCTATCTGAAATAAACAAAAACATGTTTTAAAAAAAAGTTCTGAGGTTAAGATATTATAGGAAACCACTGGAGAATTTAAAAATATTAAATTTAAAATATTAAAAAGTGTTAAGTTGGATTTATGTCTAAAAAATCACTCTGGCTGGTCTATGGTAAATCATCTGAGAGGGCCACTAAGGAAAAATAAAATATTTTACAAAGGACCAGTCCAGTTGGTTAGACACTTTTAAAATTATCCTGTATCAAATTAACAAGGACTTACCTTGCCAAGATTTTTGGCACTTTTCTATTAACTTAAATTGCATTAGGAAAAAGCATAATAGTAATTAAAAAACAACTAATTATAAGCAATTATAAGCCAAATTATGTCTGTACTGCAATTAGTGTTTGAAGTGGTGTAGTAGACTGGTTCTTCATTTCAATGAGCAACATCAAAATAACCGAATAGCTTGTAAAACACAAATACTTCTTTTATCTTTATTCCAGGTATAATCACCACATTCCCTTTGAATTATATTACAAGTAACACATTATTATTGTTTGTCCCAATCCCCAGTTTGAGTTGGTTGCTTTTATTTAAAAACATGGCAAGATTAGCATATATACCTACCACACAACACAGCTTCTTTCAACAGGTTTTATGGAGAAATTTGAATAAATAAGTGTTTTTGTAAGACAAGTTCTACCCTGCAGGAAATCTAGAATGCAAACTTATGCCCTAACCGGTTTGGCTCAGTGGATAGAGCGTCAGCCTGAGGACTCAACGGTCTCAGGTTCCATTCCAGCCAAGGGCATGTACCTTGGCTGCGGGCACATCCCTGGTGGGGGGTGTGCAAGAGGCAGCTGATCAATGATTCTCTCTCATCGATGTTTCTAACTCTCTATCTCTCTCTCTTCCTCTCTGTAAAAAACCAATTATATATATATATATATATCCAGCATTAACAGTTTTAAAAAAATAGAATGCAAACTTAAAATCATGTATTTTTTATTAGATTTTTACACAAAATGATCATATTTCATAGTTAAGGAAAGTCTTTCTCTAAGGATGATAGGCAAAGTCTTTTATTATATCACCCTGGTAATTTTTATGTCAGGCTGCCTTTTTTAAATTTTTATTTCTGAGTAAAAGCCATAACTTTGTTATCACAATTTTGCCACCTCAGGTTAAAATGGGTATTACTTGGCAACTGTTTGACACTTTACATTTATTGCTGAAATATTAAATACATTGTTCTTTTTAAAAAATATATATATATATTTTTATTGGTTTCAGAGAGGAAGAAGAGAGAGAGAAACATCAATGGTGAGAGAGAACCATTGATTAGCTGCCTCCTGCACACCCCCCCATTGGGGATGGAGCCTGCAGCCCGGGCATGTCCCCTTGACTGGAATTGAACCTGGGACCCTTCTGTCCGCAGGCCAACGACTGAGCCAAACCAGCCAGCAATACATTGTTGTTTAATTAACCTCTAGTGATTGCTTTGGATCTTTTCCCTCATTAATTTCCATGTACATTCTGATTCACCGAGATGGTAGCACCGTAAATTTTGGAGGCAGTGGAAACGCCTTTCAATCAGTTAATCAACTCCAGACAATTTAAAGAAAAACAGCATCAATTTCAAATTATATTAAATAAATACGTTTCTAGAAATAGTTTTTGCAGAATAAATTCCCACCAGTTGACCTAATAGAGCATGGCGTGGCCAGTGCTTCATGGCAGCTGCTGCGCTTGCCCAACTCCGAGGCTTGGGCGAGCCACAGAGCCACATGGAGCGAGGCAGGTAGAACCCGAGCCCTCCAGGGCTGGGAGCCTCCTCGCTTTTCCTTTTTTGAACAAGAAGACAACGCTTCTGGCTATTGTGTAAACGGGCCGAGAGCTGCGTTCGTTCCTGCAGCAGCGAAGGCGTGCATGAAAGCGCCTTCCCATCAGATCCTTGGCACCATGTGCGTCCAATGGTGGGACAAACGCTGGGTTTGAATGCCTCGCTTCGCTCGCCTGGGAGTAGAGGGGGGAAGGGACACACACACATTTCGGAGAAGGGCCAAGCACCTCGGCCATCGCGGCCAAACGCACGGGATCAAACCACCGCGCCAGCCCAGTAGCGGCCCCGGCCCCCGCCCCCGCCGCGCCGCGCCGATCGGCCTGGAGTCCCACCCACGTGATCGCCACGCCAGTTGGGGTGCACACACAACCGCACAGCCTTCCTCCGCTCCGCTCCCCGACCCCCCGGGCGGGCAATGCCCGGCTCCCGGTCCCCGGCCCGACAACAGGAGGCCATGCTCCCGCCCAGGGAGCAGCGCGCGAGCCGAGCCCGAGCCGCAGCGCCGCGAGGCAGCTCCCCGCGCTCCCCGCAGGCCGCCGGCCGGCCAGCCAGCCGCAGCTCGGCCGCCGGGTGACGGACAGGCGGCTGCAGCTATGAGCCGCAGGGGCGGGACGTGCGTCACTTCCGGGCCCGGCGAGGGCGCCGGCGTATATAAAGCCGCGGCTCGCGCAGCGCCCTCGCTTCCACAGTATGGCCGGCGACATTAGCTAGCGCTCGCTCAGCTCGCTCTCTTAACGGGGGAACAGCGGACTACAAGAGACTGAACTGTATCTGCCTCTCTTCTTTCCAACAGACTCACGTTCAACTTTTCGCTCACACGCATACAAAAGAAAAAGAAAAAAAGCCGGGAAAATTTTATTCTTTTTTTTTTTAAAGAAAAAGTTAATATAAAAAATTGTAGCAAAAAAAAAAAAAAAAGGAACCTGAAACAGCTGGAACAATCCGCAGCAGCAGCAGCGGCGGGAGAAAAAAAAAAGAGATTTAATTTAGTTGATTTTCTGTGGTTGTTGGTTTGTTCGCTCGTCGCACGGTGATGGAAGCTGCACATTTCTTCGAAGGGACCGAGAAGCTGCTGGAGGTTTGGTTCTCCAAGCAGCAGCCCGACGCAAGCCAAGGATCGGGGGATCTCCGCACCATCCCGAGGTGGGTGCTGGCTGCGGCGCTCGCGGCGCTCGCCCACGGGCGGCCCCGGGGCTGTCGCCGCCGGGGAGACACTCTACCCCTGGGCGGAGGAGGAGGCGGTGGCGGGGAGCAGCCGGGGGCTCCGCAGCCTTCAGATGGGAACAGCTCCGCCTTCGGGGGTGTATTTCCACGTCGCGAAAAAAGGGGGTCCCCGGGGCTGGAGGGAGCATGCGGGGGCCGGGCCGGTGCCTCCCGGCGTCGCCGTTGCCGGGCCGGGCGCAGGCCGCGGGGGAGGGGAGGGGAGGGGAGGGGTGGGAGGAGGCCGGTGCCGCCCGCGTGCTCAGGTAACGTCCCCGCTTGGGCCGCGGGCGGCGGCGCCTCTCGGAGCGAGTTCGGCTCGGCGGTCCGAAGCCCCGGGCGAGGGGAGCCTGGAGGGGGAGGCCGGGCCGCGACGGCTCCCTCCCGGCAGGTGTGGCTGGGCGGGCTTCGTCAGGCGCTAATTCGGGCGTGCCCGCTTTGGGGCTTGGGGGAGGGAGGGAGGGAGCGAGTCGGAGCCGGACTGGTTCTCCTGGCCGCGTGCTGCGGGACCAGGAGGCCCTCCGCGCCCCGGGCTGGGGCCGGCGAGCAGGCCTGCAGCGCGGCCGGCGCTGGCTGGCGGCGTGCGGCGCCCGGCGGCGGGGATCGGGATGGGGGGGCGGTGGTTGTCGCAGTGGCTGGGCCCCACCGCCGCCCGAACGCGCTCTGCACCAAAGCCTTTCGGGGCGTTCCCTGCCGCGAAGCCCGCCGAGGCTCCCCACCTCCCCCCCCCCCCCCGCGACTCTTGACCTTGGTGTGTGTAACCTGCTCCCGAGGCGTTGGGGGGTCCCGGCGAGGTGCGGGGCAGAGGAAGGTTTGTTTGCCGACATGGACGAGCCGGAGGCCCAGGACTTAACGCCTCTGAATGCAATGAGCCAGCAAAGGCCTCTGGGGCCCCGGCCTCCCGCCCCGGCCGGCAGTCACGCGAGAGAGCCGGGCCGGCGCCGCGGCGGCGAGAGGTCCGCTGGGGTCGTGGGGTGAGCGGAGCGCGGGCGGCGCGGGGCCGCAGGTGCCGGGCCTGCCCCCGGGCACGTCGCCCGCCCGCCCGCGGCCCCGGAGGCTCCTCCGCGCACGGTGCCGCGCAGGAACCGGCGCGGCCGCTTCATTGAGCGCCGGCGGCCAATGAGGGCCCGGCCCCGCCGAGAGCCGGCCCGGCGGGTGCGGGCCAATGGGCGGCCCGGGAATGCTGGCTGCGCGCTGCGCTGTCGCCGGCAACGAGCCGCTGGCGCAGGGGATCCGGGAGGACACGTGCTGCCGGGACTCGAAGGCTAAGTTAGGTCTTGAAGGGTTGAGTCTCTGGTTAGAAAAAGGGTCGGGATGGCTCACGTTGCAGGTCTGGTTTTTTTTTTCCAAAGCTCGGCGCGACGCCGGACAGGTTTGACCCAGTGGCCAGGGTGCATCCTCAGCGCTGTATGTTAGAGGAAGCAGTTACTTTTCTTACAAGTGTTACGTGGGAGCTTACGTTTCCTCCCTTTCACCATGTGGGGAACTCCCTGTTGTTGGTGATACACTTTGAAAAAATGATTTAGAAAATCTTATTTTTTTAAAAAAAAATGAATAGCCTTGTTTTGTCCTGACTCACTAATTTTTTTTTTTTTAAGTTTTATCTGTAAGGACACTTTCTTAATAAAGGGACGAGGGCTTTATCCTTTCTCCAAGTTCTTGGTAGAAATGCCAGAATGTAAGCTTGGGCGTGTGTGTGTGTGTGTGTGTGTGTGTGTGTGTGTGTGTGATTAAAAGAGTTCCTTGAGTCCAGGAGAGAGGCTTATAAAACGAAGGGCAGCTTGCCTGCTTTAAATACTTAAGAACCACTTTTCCTTTGTGCCTTTATCAGTAGCAGTTATCTTACTGCTTGAATATAGCTCATGAAATGGCAAAAGTTTAATCTTCAAGGACAGAATATTCTGTTTTGTACAGTTCACAATTTAGTGCCCGTTTTGTACATATTTAACGTAAGTTGAATCACTGTTTTGAGAGTTTTCTCTTAAGACGTTTCAGCTGTTTTAAACATTTTTTTAAATATATTTTATTGATTTTTTTTACAGAGAGGAAGGGAGCTAGAGAGCTAGAAACGTCCATGAGAGAGAAACATCGACCAGCTGCCTCTTGCACACCCCCTACCGGGGATGTGCCCGCAACCAACGTACATGCCCTTGACCGGAATCGAACCTGGGACCTTTCAGTCCGCAGACCGACACTCTACCGCTGAGCCAAACCGGTTTCGGCTGTTCCAGCTGTTTTAGATCGAGTAAATAAGAACGAAAAAAATCTGTTGATTTAACTGAGAAGTCCATTGGTAGGCTTTTTTGAGGAAAGTTTTTCCGTGAACTGTCAGTCAACAAGAATGCACTGGGTAGGTTATGTTACTAGGAGATTTTAAAAGTACCTGAAAAAATGTTAGATGCTAGTAGATAAATCACTTAGAGTGATGACCTGGCCAGAGGGTGGAAGGATAATTGTCATCTAAAAGAAGATGCGTGATGAAATGATGCATGGCCTCTGGAATGTCTAGATTTTAATCAAACAACATTTAATGACTAGCTGTGTGGTATATTTTCACCTCTAAAATGGAGATGATAATGGTACCTACTTCATGGGGTAGTTGTGAGGATTAAGTGGGTTAGTGTATATATAGTGCTTTAAAACAGTGACACATAGTAAGTAACCACTGTACAAATGTTATAAGTGTTTTATATTTATCTTTAGAACAAAATTAATCTCTCCCACCCCCCTCAACCAAGGGTGAAGAATTAAGTATATGAAATTGTAATTTAAAAGGCTACACAATAATTTGATGTAGTTCTTTTTTAAAAAAATATATTTTATTGGTTTTGTATAGAGAGGAAGGGAGAGAGAGAGTTAGAAACATCAATGAGAGTCATCGATCAGCTGCCTCTTGTACACCCCCTACTGGGGATATGCCCACAACCAACGTACATGCCCTTGACCGGAATCGAACCCAGGACCCTTCAGTCCCCAAGCTGACGTTCTATTCATTGAGCCAAACCGGTTTTGGCTTGATGTAGTTTTTGTTCAATTAGAGGAGATAGTGTCACTGGGGAAGCTTTTAGATTTATCATTCTTTAGAAGGATTAAATATCATGAAGCAACCTTTAGTAGTATTGTTTTTATTGGATAATATAAAAATTTGGAAGCTAGAAATCCTTGCTTGTCCTTGCTCATGTCCCTACTCTCAGTAATTCCATTAAAATGTAAACAGATGGAAGGTTATAATAAAAAGATTTTAATAGATTTTACTGTATATCAAATGTAAAACCTAATGACATTGAGAATGAGCAGGCACAAATGTTCTAACACGATTACTACACATGCTACATTAACATGTTATGGGAAAATTCCTAGAAAAAAAAATTACTTTCCAAACGTTGGTATAAGAAGAAATAGAAATATAAGTAGTCCTATAACCATTACATACATTGAATTAGTCATTACGTCCCATAAAGAAAATTCTGGGCCCAGGTGGTTTCACTGGAGTGTTCTCCCTAACATTCAAGGAAGACATTATTCCAGTCTTTCACACATTCTTGTGAACAGAGAGGAGATACATTTCCCAGCTCATTTTGGGATTAGCATAATTTTGATATTCAAATGCTGAGTCTGTGAAGGAACCAGAACTCTCAACACTGCTGGTGAGAGTGGAAAGTGAACAAACCACTTTGAGAAATGATTTAGTAGTTTCTTAAAGATTTAATTTCTAGAAAATGCATATTAATCACACCAGTGGTTGCTTAAGGATTGGGAGTAAAGAGAAGGGCTTGGATTATAAAGAGGCCTGAGGGACCTTTGGGGAGTAGGTAGAAGTGGTCACTATCTTGTGATTGATAGTTTTACAAGTAGGTGTGTATGCCAGGAATCTTGTAGATAAATACAAAGATGATAAGAATTTGCCCTAACCGGTTTGGGTCTGTAGGTATTACATCTGCCTGTGGACTGAAGGGTCCCAGGTTTGATTCCAGTCAAGGACATGTTCCTTGGTTGCAGGCACATACCCAGTGGAGAGAGTGCAGGAGGCAGTTGAATCAATGTTTTTCTCTCATTGATGTTCCTAACTTTCTCTCTCTCTCCCTTCCTCTATGTAATGAAAAAATATATATTTTAAAAACAATCTGATTATTTTTGCATAATAACTTTATCTTTTCAGTGATTCTCACCGTCCATATGATTGAATTGCCTCACAAACAGGAATATTAATTTAGTTGTTATTAGCATATATATTGTATTTACTGCTACAAGCCAAAGAGTAATTTTGGTTGCTGTTGAGCTCTCTCTGCCCTCCCCCCAAGTATGTAAACTTAGCAATTTGCGTCTGTATGAAATCAACTTAGAGCATTAAATAGCCCCAAACTCTTTGTACAATAACGAAGGTGAATGTGAATTTGGAAAATTGCTGAAATGATTTTAGAGAAAAGCTGCTTTTGTGATGTATAAAGACAAAAATATTTAATTGGAAGTGGTGTGGAGCTTGAAGAATTGTAACAAGAAAATAATTCCAAAGATTTTGAACCAAGAGAGAAAGCCATAAGGTAATTTTGAAGGCAGTATTCCAGCAGAGTTTGAGGAAGTGGTAATCAGCCAAAGAAAGAAGTATAATATGAAAAATCTGGCTCTTAGTATAACAGCTTGTCTTTTGAATACAGATTTTTTTAAAAAAATTTTTTTAATTGATTTTTTACAGAGAGGAAGGGAGAGAGATAGCTAGAAACGTCCATGAGAGAGAAACATCGGCCAGTTGCCTCCTGCACACCCCCACCGGGGATGTGCCCACAACCAATATACATGCCCTTGACTGGAATCGAACCCGGGACCTTTCAGTCCGCAGACCAACGCTCTACCACTGAGCCAAACCTGTTTTGGCTGAATACAGATTTTTTAAAAACTTTGTTGAAACAAAAAAAGTTATGAAAATCATAATGCAAACCTAGTTT